AGCGCCGCGGCCCGCGCCCCGCCATCGCCGCCTCCCCTCACAGCGCTGCCCCCGGGGGCCATGTTGGCCGGGTGCAGGCGCTGTATTATCCATATTAAAAGCCTTTTCTCCTGCCTGTGGGGCAGGATAACGGCGCTGTATCGCCAGCCCTGCGTATCTGGAGAAGGGCGACGGGGAGGCGTGTGAGCCCACCGGCGTGTCCGCCAGTCAGTCCGTCAGTCAGTCAGTCAGTCAGTCAGCCAGCCAGCATGGGGCGCTTGGCACTAGGGCAGCGCAAGGCCAGGAGAATATCGGCCGTCTGGTTAAAAAACCTCACACGCCCATGCAGCATTATGTTGGTACAGAAATAGTGTTTAGGGAAAGGAAAAATAAGTCCCCTTACCTTCCTGCAGCCTGTGCGGTGGCGTGCCGGCTGCCGATGCTCCTCTGCCACCTCGCCCGACCTCGCCGCAGGGTCAGGAGGTCGTAATCCGCCTTCTTGTTCAGCTCTTCCCTCAGGGCTTGCTTTTGTGACTACCTTCCCACTTCTAATCTCCATCCTGACTCTCTTTGTATCTAAAAAGAACTGAGAGAGTGGTAAAAAAGGGGGCAAGATAGATAAACAAAATGGCTTAGGCAATCTGCGCTCCCGCTGTCTGTGGCTGGTGACGCTCCCTGTCTCCTTAGCAGGGCCTGTTGCTGGTCGCTGATGCCTCTAGTGCAGCCTAAGCTCTTTCAGCGAGGGCTTTGTCACCTGTGCGTCTGCAGAGCACCCCGGCAGACATGGGAGGAGTGGTTCAGTGCCAGCCCCACTGACTTAAGCGGAGTTTAGGTCCAGTTGGACCTTCTATAAAAGGTGAGCAACAATTTTTTGCTGTCAATGCAAGGGAGGAGATAGCACCGATCTGTAATGAAAAGCTTGCGAGCAAATTGAATGTTCTTCTGCAACGTGAACAGCGGGGGGGGAAAAGGAAGAAATGTGCTGCATTGGTAGTGTTTCCAAGTATCACACATCTTTATTATTGAACTTCAATATCAAGACAGTATTTTTTTTTATAATTTGCTTGCTGATTACACTTGAAACTGCTAGGTCCACCAAATAAAGTAGTTTGGTCTGTTAATGGTTTATTTCGTAATGCTCAGTCAGGTCTAGTTCGGTACATTTTCTAAAGTAATGCCTAAAGTTGTTACAGAATGTGAAAAGCCAGCTGGCAAACTCCTTGTTCAAAATACAGATTCCAGCTTTGCCAGGAATCTCTCTTTGATCTGTATGGAAACCAGGCCAAACATAATTTCACTATGTTTTTAGGGTGTTTTCCAATTAACCAAACTGTAATAATGCATTTATAAATGGTTTGGGGCTGTCTGGATTTGGAGATGGGTTTGATTCCTTAATGTACATCACATGACACTACACCATCCTGAGATGCAGGATATTATATTTCTTAACAACGTCTTTCCCCTTTTTTAAGATAAAGCGAAATAAATTATCGTGAAACAATGGAATTCACATTCCTCCATATGCACTGATTGATTTAAACTGCATTTAAAATCTTCTCCTTATAGCTAAGAGATAGGAATAGCTGATGTGGAATAAGCACTTTAGTAAATATGTCAACCACTGAGCTGCTAGGATCTTTACCACATGCTCTTTATCACTGCTGATGCATACTAGCTACTTCAAGTTCAATGTATATACATTACTGAACACACAATTTTTCAAGGTAATGTGATGTAAGACTGATAAAATGCTTAGGCTGGTAAGAATATTTTCATATGAGTGCTGAATAAATAATGAAATCATAAAAATGGATCCATGTGTAGAAAAAGTTACAGTGCATTCGCAAATTCACGGTCCTGAAAAGAAGAGACTGTTTCCAGTTTTCTGGAAAATAAACTAGCTAGGACTGATGTAAATGTGCATCCCTTGAAAACTGGTCTGTATTATTTATTGGATCCCACTGTCTTTAAAAATAAGCATTTAAAGCTTGTGTTGCTACATAACACATTTAAACAGTTCTGAGTTCAAGGCACATTTCTATAACACTTGGGAGGTTGACCATCTTCCTCCTTTATTTCCTATAAAGCAAATGTAAGATTTAGATCTTGTTGCTGTTCTTCAGATGAATCAACAGATGCGGTTTCTCTTGCTAAACCACATATGAAAATAGTTTTAATTTTTTACATGTATAATTTCAAATGGATGATTTTCAGCCCATATATTTTTCTTTTCACATTGTTTGTTTGCCTGTTAGCTTCACTACATCTTGCTGCATATCCTGACCCTTATCTTTGACCTTCTCTGTCTCTTGACCCCAGCCCTCTCGAGTCCTGACTTCAAGCGGTTGATTAAGTTAGCTTTTCCCTGAGCACCTTTCACTTGAACATCAGCCTGTGAATAGCTAACTGTCTATTACATCTAACTAAATGGGGACCTTTTTATGACCCATTTCTCGTGCTGCTTGTAAACTTGTATACCAGAGGCAACCCTGCCTCAAAGAGTCGGTAACCTGAAGTCTGCTTCTCTTCCTTTGCTTTAACATTGACGGTCTCTCCTGCCAAAACTGAAAGCACGATGTATCAGTAATCCTCCCTCAAGCCAAAGAAGGCCAGACACAGCTTGCCGTGGAGCCTGTCAACTCCACTCCATGTGTCAGCCTGAGGGAATCAAATGAGAGCAATGAAACGAGATTTCTACCTCCAGAGTCTGTAGCCTCTGGCACCTACTGGTACAAGACCAAAGGAGGAGCAGTAGCACAGCTGGCGTGGCTCAAGTCCCATGGTTTTACTCTTAATAGCAAATGTTTCTCATGCAAACTTGTTCCAGCTTATTTTACAACTCATTTAGAAACTGCAATGTTAAAGCTACTTTAATTTTAGTACTCATTTCATTCCCTTTTTCAAGTTGCAGAGCTGATCTAGCAGTCACTAAAGGGCAGCATTTTGTTGCTTACAGGGATCTGAATTCAAAGATATCCTGGCTTCATGCCTCAGTAATGGTTCTTGAGCTTGGCAAAAGCATTAACTGTTATAATCTGAAACTAGCCTGTCGTTCTGATACAATTTCATTCTGAATTGCAGAGAAGCCTATGTAGTTCATCTTTCTAACCGTAAAAGAGATCATAAAATGAGCATGAAATGTGGATAGACAGGTCCAGCTCTCAGCCCACCATCCACTTTTTTGTGCATTGTGCGCTATGTCTTAGGGCAAAACACTGTCAAAAGTGACCACTGCCTTTGAGAACTTCATCTTTTACCCACCCAAGGCCAGACACATACTGCAGAGCTTTCCATAACCAAGGGCTACCGGCCTCCGTGGCAACCCAGGCTGATCTGGAAACTCCAAAGTGTCTCAGATCAGACCACTTCTGCAGTCAGCATCCTTGGCCTTTCTGTCATTCCTCCCTCTCTAAAGTGAGACTAATAAGAGATTCCTAACCATGGTTTGGTATCTGCTAATCATGAGCTTGCTTTGATTATAAAAGCACAAGATATTTTTTAAAAAGTGTAGAATTTGGCTTCAGAAACAGAACAAAGTATCTCAAATTTGTGTAGCTGATGGAAGGGCGACAGTAGCTAACTTCATTTCTTACATTAGAAGAAAAAGGGAAGTAGGAAAGCATGTGTCGTTTTGATCTAATTTTGATCTAATGTTTGCCTGGAGAGCACAGTGAAACCACAGCTGCTCATCCTTTAGCACAGAAGCGTACACCCAACTTTTAGGTATAAACAACAGCGATCTCTGTTTCTGTAGGAAGTGCTGGGCGTTACTTTGTGATATTTGTGCAGCTCTACACGCTCCATCATTATTACCAGTCTACATGACTGTTCATAACGTAGAAAAAATCTCCTTTCTGTTTTTAAAGGTGCGTAAGATTTACACACCCCAGTAGCAAAATTGTGCAATGCTGGCATAAATAATCTCTTATGACAACCCCTCAGGGAGTAACTCCTGTTGGCAGGATGTGTGTAATCCCAGGATGGTCTGATGCATCGGTAACTGCATCGTAACAATGGAAACATGAGCTCGGCCTCGGGTGTCTCACAGCTCGGGTTGGCGGGCTCAGCTGTGTTGGCAAGGCAATGCAGTCCAACTTCAAAAGGGGGGGGAGAAAAAGCTAATAGTCACTGTAGAGGGCCATCTGCTAGATGGCCAAAACTCTCTATGATGTATTAAGAAAAGATTTTGCAAGAGGTATGCTGAACTTCCTGTTAAATGAAACTTTTGTCATCTTTCTTTTAATTTCTTTGCATGTTGTCTGTAACAATAATCTGCTATCACCCTGTCCGTGCTATATGCATACATCAGTCACAAATCACACCTCTGTGATGCTGACCCGAAAGGACACATAGCCATTCAGAAGGGAATTAGCTAAGTTAAGGGAGTGGGAATTAGCCACGCTGCCCAAAGGACATTGTCCTTTACCTTTTGGAATCCAGACGTGAGCAGTTCTTCCTCTTCCCTGGCACTCCTGGCGGTGTCCTTCTGGAGGAGGACAGACAGAAGTCTATTTCAACAGCCCTGTAGGAAAAAGTGAAAATGTTCAAAAAAGTTCAGGTTTTCTATGTTTAGGTCAACACAGAGGCAGATTTTTTTTTTTTCATCTGGCAACATCATGATAAAGGAACCTCTAAAAATTGTTCTTGCTCTGGTAGTAATGATCTATCAGTACAGTTTCACAGAATCATAAAATCATTTGGTTGGAAAAGACCTTTGAGATCATCGAGTCCAACCGTTTGCCACACTGCATCTGTCTGTCATCTGTGCTGATACCTGTATCTTAGCTGGTCTCTGTAAAAAAGATGATATACGGTAAGAGTCATGTTTTGGAAAAAAAAGTATGTAAAACCTCTGTGTTTTTTAGTACAGATATTGAAAGCGATGTTATTAATAGCTTGAAATACACTGTACCAGTAGCTGGAACAGTGTTGAGGACAGACTGGGAAGGGGACAATATCATCAAAGGGGAAACAACTTTGGCACCGAGCTGCCAGAAAAGCCATTAGTGGCATTTGCATGGATCATATATTCCCCCTCATGAACTCATTGGCTGTAGATGCCAGGGGTAGCTGGCTCCAGACAGATAGCTCATTACCCCCTTTCTCCCTTACTGGTGGGATCTGGTGAAGAAGTTGCAGATTCCTCTGTAGTATGCATTTGGCCTTTGCCAATTTCTTGGGTCACCGCAGCAGTTTATGGCGATGGCTTTCTGTCAGAGATGCACAGAATTATTTTTATGAAGTGGTAGTTGTTCTCAAGAACTCTGAGTCATACCAACTTTTTTACCTGCCATTTTATCCTTTAACCCTCCAGTAACTGCGATGCAAATGTCCTTGTTCTTCTTGGTTTCACTTTTTGTTAAACAAAGTGTCAGCAGATGGCAAGGCTTCACTGGTACAGCTCAATAGCGTAGCTATACTAAGCAAGACCAGACTGTGATTCCTCAGCCTTTTTCAATCGGTGCCTCTTCCCTCATGACTCCTGCCAGCCCACAGGATTAAGATTAATTAATAATGCTCCAAAGCACTTACATATACAAACCTACACTTATCCACAAACTACAAAAATTGTTAGATATTACTGTGCCAGCTACACTGTGTCTAGGAAAACCAGATTTGAGGCACACAATTACTTAAGTACCGCAGTGCATTCTAATACGGTGATTTTAAAGCACTAATTATAGTAGCGTAGCAGAGAGGATCCCAGATTGTGGCTGTGCGTTCTACTCAAGCATGTATACTTTGCAGCCAGGTATAGGACCTGCTGTCACTTGCAGTGGCCACCACCACTGCTGCCACCAGTGCCCCTGCCAGTGATGGTACCTGGCTTTAAAAGTGTGTGAAAGCCATATTTAGGAACTTGTCACCTCCTAAAAAAGTGCCAGTAAATATAGTAAGCAGGTGTGCTGGTTTTGGCTGGGGTAGAGTTAATTTTCTTCACAGTAGCTTGTACGGGGCTGTGTTTTGGATTTGTGCTGAAAACGGTGTTGATAACACAGAGATGTTTTCATTACTGCTGAGCAGGGCTTACACAGCATGAAGGCCTTTTCTGCTCCTCACCCCACTCCACCAGCAAGGAGGTTGGGGGTGCGCAAGAAGCTGGGAGGGGGCACAGCCAGGACAGCTGACCCCAACTGACCAAAGGGATATTCCAGACCATATGACGTCATGCTCAGCATATAAACCTGGGGGAAGAAGAAAGAAGGGGGGGGACATTTGAAGTGATGGTGTTTGTCTTCCCAAGTAACCCTTACGCATGATGGAGCCCTGCTTTCCCGGAGATGGCTGAACCCCTGCCTGCCGGTGGAAAGCACTGAGTGAATTCCTTGTTTTGCCCTGCTTGTGTGTGTGGCTTTTGCTTTCCCTATTAAACTACCTTAATCTCCACCCATGAGTTTTCTCACTTTTCCTCTCTTGATTCTCTCCCCCATCCCACTGGGAGGAGCGAGAGTGGCTGTGTGGGGCTTCGTTGCTGGCTGGGGCTAAACCACGACAGTCCTTTTTGTCACCCAGCGTAGGGCACAAAGGGTTCGAGATAATGACAGATATGACTGGAATGTGCTAGATGGAATGTATAGCTGTTATTGCTGTTTACCTATTAATCAGCAGGCTCCTGTGCTTGCCATGGGGCTTGCTTGCCTCACTGTATATGAGAGTCAACTGCTCGCTAGTGGCTGCTTTTTGCCTTCCCTGCTCGCTGTGCTGCGGTGCTGCTGATCATCTGGCTCTGCTGTGCCTGGGAAGGGTTTGATAACAGCCACGGCTCATGCGCCTGGGCTGGCAGACGGCCAGGGCATCGCTGCTGTTCCTGTGCTGCTGCACTGGGCAGGCTGGAACTCCAGCGTGAACTCGAGGCGCAGGGACTGTGACCTGCAGACAAATCCATGCGGGAACAGGACAGCCCAAAGTGTCTGCAGCCGTGGATAAGCCCACGCCAAAGCAGGTACATCTCAAAGCGCCTGTGGCTGTGGTTTTGCCAGAGAAGATAGATCTCGAAGCATCTGTGGCTGTTGTTATGCCAGTGCCACAGCAGGTATACCTCTGAAGGGATTGTGGCCCAAGGATAAGTCCACACAGGAGAAGGTGCACCTTGAAGCATCAGTGGCTGTGTATGAGGTCATGCTGGAACACCTCCAAGTGTGTGGCCATGGATAAGCCCACAACAGAGGAGGTACACTCCTGGAGGGACTGCAGCTGTTGGTAAGGCCACGCTGGAGCAGGTTTATTTCTGAAGGCATTGTGGCCCATGAATAAGGCCACGCTGGAACAGGTGCACCTCAAAGTGACTGTGGCTGTGGATAAGTCCATGCCTCAGCAGGTATACCTCTGGAGAGACTGTGGCTCAGAGATAAAGCTCCGCTTGGAGCATGTACAGCCTTAAGGGACTGGAGTCTGTGGGTAAGTCCAAGCCGGAGCAGGGGCAAGGGGAGGAGTTCATTGCAATGTTAAACCCAATGGTCTGGCCCAAAGAGACCAGGGGTGGAGACTAATGGAAATACCTTTAAATTGTTGTAACCCAGGGTTTGAGTTGCATGTATGGCAGTTACTATAGCAGGAACCACCTGAACCAATGGACAGAAGCCTTACAAGAAGCAGTGCAAGTGCAGCAGTGACCCAACCTGAGCTGGCTTTGGTGCCCAATAACTACACGCAACACACCGCCTCTCCTGCCCTGAAGTGACCACCATAACATGAAGCGCAAAGTCATGGACTACATGAACTCGGTGGACGTTTTGTGGACATTTTGTGAACATTTTACAAGGATGGTCCATAGACTAAAGGAATGATATCTGTGTATTATATCAAAGGATGGGAGGGGCAGGGCGTGGTTAATGAGGATGTATTGGATAGTGTGAGACCTGAGCATGATGTAAATGGTATGGAATAAGGGGTGGATACTGTCCTGGTTTTGGCTGGGATAAAGATATTTTTCTTCATGGTAGCTTGTAAGCTGGGGTTAAACCACGACAGCAAGGCATTGGAATGAGCCCTGCTCTAGCTGCCCTCAGTAGATAGACCAACACAAATCTGCAAGTAGGCAGGATCTTGTAGTCCTGGACTACCGCCAGCCTGAATAGCAACTTGTTCTCCTGGTGTTTGTCTGCCCTAGGTACACACAGCAGCTGATATAAATATGTCTCCTAGCTGTATTTAGGTATTGCAAGGGATCTGTTTTACTGTCTACCTGGTTCTGACAGGCTCTCCACAACAACAAGAGCTTCCGAACACTCTGTATAAGCCTTTGGTTACTGCAGCTCAGCTTTTCAGCTGGGCTTATGTTAGGCAATATACAAGAATGCTTTTAAGGCACTGATTACTGGACCAAAACACTGCAGCCTTATGGTGCAAAGTGCCTCAGGCATGTGATTTGAATGTGCTAAAAAATGTTCCGGTTTATATTGGCTTGAGTATATTCTGTCCATACTACACAAGTTTTATGCCAGTTCCCCCCAGAGAATATAAAGCCAGTATAAATACCAAATCATGTACTCAAGATAATTTACCAGAAGTGCCATCGTGTGCTCCTGCCCCATCCATTCGGACTGGTAGGTGATCCGGTGCCACACAGATCAAATATTAATGGTCTTGTCAGCGTGTCCTTACTAAAACTGAGGTTCTTAATTGTCTCAGCCTCTCTTTTGTCTGGCATACGTATGAGCACAAAGAAATCTACTATTTACCAGCGCAGCTGTTTCCTACCTCCTTCCCTGTCTGCAGCCCCCTGGGACGCCATTCTAATAGAGTTTTGTATAAACAGCAGTTGGCAAAAATCCTGGAAGTCCCTTCTAAGGCAGATATGACATCACTGTCACATACGTATCTCAAGTTTCTTCAGAAAATCATTTTGTCCAGATAAAGCCCACCAGAGAAACTGAGCAAGCTGAGGGTGCTCCTGGAGGACCTCATCCATCTCTGGCTGAAGGTAGTGTCAGTCTTTGGGTCGGCTGCATGGGAGGAAGGTATGGAGCTACAGGCTGGCCCTGGCCCTACCCCTGGTGGTCCCGGGAAGAGGCCCAGTGGTCCCCGTTGCTCTTTGTGGACTTGCTAAGTGGGATTTGTGGAATGCAAGACTTGTGCAGTTGATCCCCACCCTGCGCTTTCCCAGCTGAAGGAAAGCCATGGCATGGGGATGGGCTGAGGCCGGGTGTGGCCGGAGCTGTCGCTCAGGCGGGGACCAAGCACCCAGCCTCAGCTGGAAGCAGCTTCGTGGGGCCAGGGTGGGTCCCAACTGCAGCCCCCCTGCCTGGGGGCCGCTCCCCACGGACACCAGTGGGAAGGGGCCACCCTCAGCTGCACCAACTCTGCGTTGTCCCCAAGCCAGGGCAGCCAGTCCTCCCAGTGGGGGGGATGCTCTCGGGGCCTTTACAAAATGGGCACAGTGGGTCTTGCCGTGTTTACAGCTGGTCTGCACAAACATAATACTTTCTAGTATTTTCTTTTGATCTGTAGCAAAATCTAAAGTTCCCAATATTGTTGAAAGGAAAATGCCACCCAGCCAGCAATCTGGTCCTTATCACAGCTGCTCAGTTTCAGTGCCCAAAAGTCAAGTTTCAATCAATTTAGTCTTGGATGCCTTTTCAATTTCAGATAAGCCAGAGCCTTCAGTACTTAACAGCTTTTAGAAAATATATGCAATTAAATGAGATACGTTGGATTCATTTCAAAATACCTGACTCACAGTGGTACACTTCCAAAGATAATTTCATTAGGGTTTTTCTTTCCTGGAACCAAATCCTACAATTCCCTTCTCATAAGTATCTTCCACTGAAATCAATGGAGCGAGCTCAGAGGTATCTCTGAAGGTCTGCTGAAGGTATCTCTTTTCTTTCCACAGCCCAGATTAACTGTCTTGCAGGCCAGACCTGGACATAGGGTCATTGCCCGATCATCTCTGCTAAGAGTTCTAAAAAGGATTATGTATTATAACCTTTTCTAGTCGGTGGCTTGAACTTGGCCCATGTGAGCAATGGCTTGTGTCATTCATGGGAGCAGTCTGTAGTTGTGAATTCTGGCAAAGCTTTTTCTGAAGTCAATAGACTGTCCCATGTAAAAGCTGAATAATTTTTGTAATTTTTTAATCTGATATCTGGAATGGCAGCAAAAGGTTTTGTGATCAAAATGTTTACCTCCCCACCAGCAGATGTTCTGGGTCTCACCATCATCAGCTGGAGCGAGCTGTCAAAATCCAGCTCTCGATTACAAGACCCGGTGAAGAGATAAAGTTGTAACTACCATGTCCAGGAAGTCCTGCTGACATAAGGAGCAACATTCCTGATGACCTCAAGGAGGAAGAGCCACCCTGTTCTGAAGACAAGGGATGGTGAAAGCATTAATGTGAAGAGCAATATCACAGTGAGTTAAAACCTGCAGTGGTGGTACTTAACTGTTTTTAAAGCTTAGTTCAGGCAGGTGTTCCACCACTTCTGGTAGCATAACCGTGTTGAAATAGTCTCAGCAGAACAAAGCAGTTCTTCATCCCCACCAGGATATAAAAGTTGCAGGAAAGAAGCCGTGTGAACAGTAGGTAGGTTTTTAATTATCAATTTTAAAATAGAAATGCATAGGAAAAAACTCATTATTTTGGCTGACTTATGCTGCAAGTTCCCATTTGGTTTTCGATTTGCACGTATGAAAAAGTAGGGTTAACATTTTCAGAATATCCACTGGTCCTTTTTTTTTAATGTGTGAATACCTCCCTGACTACACAGTCTCCGGTGTAGCAGGATGGTAAAGACAGGCTACTTAACACCCATTTGCAAATACTGTTGGGGCCACCAAGACAAGCAGAAAACTACATCCCGCCTTATATTTGCAGAAAAATGTCCAGGACAAAGCATTGCTGAGCAGTAGTAAATACTTAGCTATGTATCCACATGTAGCCTCCAATGTGGCATTAACCTCCCAGGGATTATTTTCTCTGGTGGGTACAATAGTTATGTGGAAATAATTGGAAGTCAAATATTTCATATGCAGTCATCTGATGAAAAAAAAATTAAATTTTCCAATTGAAAAGCTTCACATTTCCCAAAAATTTTTTTTGATGGGGAAAAAAGTAAAAGAAACAGAACAGTTTCAGTCTGCTCTGGTCTTATCAGAAATTAGACTTTGTAGAAATAATATCAGAAAGAAGTTTGAAAATCATTTGACGTGTTAATTGAACAGTAGCAACAGGATCCAAGAAGGCAATCCAGCTTGATTGCATTATCACAGCTAGTGTATTGGTCTTGCTCAAGAAAATGGGTATTTTTTGTTTTCTCTCCAGTTTGGGTGTCTCCTTTAAGCATGGCTCACGCTGGCAGTCTCTGTGAAGTTGTTGCCTTTTCAAGCTCAGAAAAATTGTTTGAGAGTTAATGTTTTATTTTTTTTTCTGCTCACAGCATTATCTCCCTCCCAGACACAATCATCCGCAAATAAACAATTTGCTGTTAAAGGAGATGTTACATTGGTTTCCCTCATAACATGCCACTGCTGTCCTTACTTTAACTTTAAAATGTATTTCAAATGCAGCAGCTCTAGATTTTCCTCCTAATCTTTTTACATCTGCACTTTCTCTACCCCGACACTCACTGAACACTGAAAGCATGGTATTAAGCCAGCTTGAAGAAGACATATTTCTTCTGTCTATACCATATTTAATCCTCAGAAAATGGTGCTTTTCTAATCCATTTTTTACATTCATTGAGAACCATGGCTCATCTTTCAGACATACTTCTCATTGTGTTTTGAATTGGATTATTTAAGAAGCACTGATAAAATGCCTAAAAGCCTTTATTGGCATAGTATCACTTCTGTTGGAAGTTGTATTTGCTTCCTGGGCACCTTGGCTAATCCCAGTGGCAGAAAGTCTTGCGGGAAAAAGGGTGCATGGCAGAACGAGAGACCGGGGACCACACGTCACACAGAGAGTGGGACCAACTACTGAGGTGCTGGAGTAAAGGCTACGTATTAACAAGAGCTTTTATCAACAGTTTCTGTCAGAAGAACTCGTGGGGGATCCCAGTATTAATTTGAAGTGAATCTCCTAACAGTTTCCAGGAAAAAGTGGCAGAAGCACCATATTTTTCTGTGCTTCTGGGGAGTGACTTGTGAAGCAGCTCGGGGTTTCAGATTGCTTCCTACCTCCTCGCCAGGGCAAGCTGAATCTTCGATCTCTGAATGGGGACAATGCAGATTTTATGGCACAGCGGTTTCTCTGAAGACTTGAGTGCTGACTTTCTTTTCAGTATTGGCCTGAATCCGTTGAACTGCACATGAATGCACAATGCTAGAAATTTTCCACTGCAATCTAGTCATTAAAACTGCAGTCTGTTCTGTGGCTTGCTCAGTGCAGAAAGACTGAAGTCAACAATTTCTTCTGTAGTGTTTTGGTCAATAAATCTGCTGGTCCAGATTCATTCCTGGTACAACTCCAATGCTGCAATGTGGATAGATGTTGTCTTTTTTTCTCCCTCCCTGAATTAAGTTGTACAGCTAGAATGATGTGAAAACTTCAAAAGTGCTTTGCTTAAGCGAGGCTGAAAATGTCATTGAACAGAGACAAATGGAGGAATTTTAATTTAAAATTTACAGCAGGTTTGCTGACAACTGGTTGTTAAGCAACTCTATTCGGGGTTAAGTTTAGACAATAATCGTAAATCAAAGTGGCATACAGGATCAGTCAAATAAAGCTATTTAGAAACATTTCTTTTTTAAGATATACCTTTCAAGGCTTCCAGGCAACGTGGGGACTGTTGACAAATGTAAGATGACTTGGGCAGCTGAAGAAGTGGCAATGAGTGAGAACTGCCTAAGTGAAGCGCTTCTCTATTCTGTTTTATTGCTGCATTGCTTCTGGCTTCGAGACCCAGGCAGAGGCCACCTGGAGTGGGCAGGCAAATTTACAGATGTTAACGCTTGCCTTTGGCATTTTCTTTCACCAAGGTCCGGGATAGCATCTGCAGTCTTCTAAAGGGCTAATGTGCAGTTCGGAGGCAAAAGACAAAACTTACCTGAGCATCCAGGGTATGGATTAATAACCTAGGACATCGTGCTTTATCATTTGAAAGTACACTCTGATTATTAATTGTTTTTCATTAAGAGATGCAAAACCCGCTGCCTGCGTTGCTGGTGGGGCTCAGCAGGCTGGGGCTGCTACCGCTAGGTGGCACGAACCTGATGCAGCAGAAAACACGTCTGGAAAAAATGCTGAAACATTTCATGCTTTGCTGAACAGCAGCCATCCGGTAAGTGAAAAGACTACCACCACCACGCTAGCCATCAGCACAGGACTCGTCTGGAAAGCCCACTTCGTTCTGGTGTGCGCAACTGTCTTCTAGATAACAGGAGAAGAAAGATGTGTTTGGCACAGAACCACTGTGTCGCCTCCTCCCCCCTGGGCCAAAATGAAAATCCATTGCTACTAGTAAGTTTTTTCTGGATTTCTGCATCCAGGCATTTAAAGCACACACTTTTTTTTTCCCACTTGGAGCTACAGTGATGTGGACAGCTAGGACCACACCATAAAAATGAGGCTAGCTGGCTGTCCCCTTCCCTCCATCTGTGGCCACACAGCTCACTCGATGCAACCTTGCTTTTAGACCTCAAGGTTGTAAATTGAAGTGTCTCAGCACTGCTTCGGCTCCGGGCCAGCGCTGACGCTGCACTGCAGGTCTGGGGAGAGCCGATCTCAGGGTGTCCTCTGAGTGGGACGTCAATCTGGAAGCCTTGGGTGACTCTCCAAGTCAGTATTAGAGATCCCAAGATACTTCCAGTTAAAGCAGGTGATCCTCAAGATTCCTTTAAGGATATGCACTCTAATATACTGCCATTTTTTTATTCAGATTTGCTGATATCTAATCCATTACTTTAAGCAGCATTTTAAGATAAAGGTTATAACTGATCTCTCTTAACATGCAGGAAAGCTGGCCTCACTGTTTACCACAAAGGAGACTGAGAGCTACAGAAATATGTCCTGGTTAGGCTTTTGTAACGATTTTTTTTATTTCTACAGCATCATAGATGTGGAAAGCACTTTAAAGAGAGAGACTATGTGCTTTAAATGTGGGATCATACATGCAAAAGGCACTCAAAATAAAGAAAATGGAAGGTCCCTGTGCTAAAGCACCTATGCTTTAAATGAGATTAAGTGCAGGATAAGATGACAATAAACAAAGGGCTGGATGAAAGGCTGGCAGTGGTGAACAGTCAGACTTAATAATATGACCATATCTTATTTCCTCCTCGGATTTTTTTAATACAGTAAATTTATTGTAATAGGATTTCTGGACAGCATCCACTTTGAAAGCCTGCGCAGAGGTTAGCAATAGAAGATTGGCTGAAAAAAAAAAATTGAGGCATGTCAAAGGATTTTAAGGGAGTCTGAGTTTGCAGGAAGCAAAAGATCAGAGGCTACTTCTTTAAAAATACTTTTAACAATTCCCATTTCTTATACAGACAGCATGTTTTAATACACTGCTGTTATATAAGTTCCTGAGTCATTTGTGTCAAATGTGAATTTGGTTTGGTTTCCTGGAAGTGTGATGCTACACTCAGACACTACGGTGATGGAGGTTATACACATGAAGCCAATCAGAAACTGCGTGCAGGGGTAAGAAATAGTTTCCTTACAAGAAACTTGATTTTGGGCAGAAAACAAAGAAAGTTCTCAGTTTCGGCCAACAAGTTAAAAAGGGGGGGAAATGTTCCTTTTTATGTAGCATAGAGGAAAGCAAACTATTTCTGAGAAAATCTTCATTTTTCCCAGAACCTGAATTTTCACTGGCACAAGTTTCAGTCAACAGTTCTCAAACATTTCTAAAGCATATATGTGAATTCTCACACTGTAAGTCCCTTGCCCGAGAAGGCCTGCAATTTACTTGCACTTGTCAACTCTATGGAATTTTAACTACAGATTTACTGTGGATGGCACTGAGAAACATAGAATCATAGGATCATTTGGTTGGAAAAGACCTGTAAGATCATCGAGCCCAACCATACCTGTCCCCTAATAAACCATGTCCCTAAGCACCTTGTCTACCCATCTTTTAAGTACCTCCAGGGATGGGGTCTCGACCACTTCCCTGGGTAGCCCATTCCAGTGCCTGATAACCCTTGTGGTGAAAAAATTTTTCCGAGTGACCAATCCAAACCTATAGAATCATAGAATCATTTAGGTTGGAAAAGACCTTTAAGATCATCAAGTCCAACCAACACGACAATGGCCACAGATGCCCTGAAGCTTGACACTCGCTTGACACTCGCACAGGGGCAGAAGCTTGCTTGAGGGTCTGTGCTTGGAGAGGGCTTTCTGCTCGGGCAGAGATGCTTGGCCAGGCTTTTCCCCTGTTCTGTGGTCAGAGTTTGGTCTCAGCCTATTTCCCATCAGTGGTGCCTGGTCCTTGCGAGACACTGGGCTCCTGCAGCCCCAATGCAACTACATGGGCACAGGCAATGCAGGGGAACAGCCCAGGGAGCAAACCCTGCAAAGGTACCTGCAAAGACAGAGAGGGAATTACTGGGACTCAGTGTGTGCTATTTCAGAGCATCAAAAGGGTCAGGGAAGGGCACTCGTCATTGCAGCTAGAGCCCAAAAAGCACAGCCATGGACTTCCTCATGAAAAAATCTGCCCCTTCCCAGCCCAGCCCTTCACATGCCCCCACCCAGAGTACAAAAAGACACAGCATTTCTTTTCTGAACCACTTTCCTGAGCAAAACAGCTTGTCTGTTATTGCTGGGCCTATTGCATTTGGATCTGTGTTACAATCAAAGGAAGTGATCTTGACCAAATCTGCCTGGGAGAATCTCCCTGCTTATCAGATCGTTTTTTCTAATGTCTGTTGCTTCTAATAAGAGAGAGAGAGATCAGCATCTGGAAATCTGTTGTCCGAGTAGCAGCAGTTGAAGTATTAGTATTTTATTTTCCTGAAGGAAAGTGTTTTCTTATGTCAAAACATTGCATGATAGTGCTGTCTGAGGTGCTACACAAAACATCTGTACTCGTTTCCATTAACTGCTAGCGCGCTGGATCAATATTCAAACGCGGTCATTTGTTCTCTACGATAGCACCAAGCATCTAAAAACTGCCTCTAAAAACTGGGTGGTTAATGTGAACCAGGCATTTTTAAATAGATCAGCTGGCCCACCCATGATTATATGCCTGAACATAAGGGAGCATGTTTTACAAGGTCAATTCCAATTAAAGCTCCTCTCCCAACCCAAATATCTTTAATCTCCAAAGACTACTTGCATGCATTGTTTCGCTTGTGCAAGTCTGCTTTCTGATTACTTCCAATTACTTCCCTGCCCACGTAGCTTTCTCACCCTCATCCGCCACAGTTACGCATGCACACGTAAAGATGAAACCGGCCCTGGCGTACTACAGCTGCTTTCCTCGGGTGCTTTTTTGTAGGGCAGCCTTCACAATGTGATTTAATACTTGAGAACAAGCTG